AATGTTTTTGCAGACGACAAATGGAAGCCGCTGTTGTGTCCTAAGAAAACTGTAACGGGTTGACTGAACTCTTGCAACGATGACCTCAACCTTCTACATCTTCCACAAGCTGTAACGGGTTGTCCATATCTTCAAGGATCGATTCATCATCTTGTTCGGATTTAGGGCATTAACCGATTCATCTTCAAGGACAGAACGGGACTGAGAGCACGGGCTGCACGCACTTTCAATCGGCAGCGGCAATTAGGATCGAAGAAACAACCGTAGGTAAAACTCTTCTAGGGGCACCGCATCCTCCGCAACTTTCTCTTCGTTTTTATTTGATTTTTGGAATGAATTTAAGATCTATGTTTTGATGTTTATACGCTTCAAGTTGTCCGGATCTTACCTTCATGAAAGCGGAGGGAAAAAGAGGTGAAGGACTGGAGGCAGATGGTGGATTGGCGTAGATCTGTATGCTCCCGCGCAGAAGATCAACCGCTGTGAGAATGAAGAAACGGGAACTGAAAATGTCTTTTTGTAAAGAATCGCCATCGAATTCTAACATGGCATTTGGCATCGGACGGTCAGATTTGTCAACTGTAAATGGAATTGGACCGTCCGATTAGAGTGAAATTGGATTCTCAATTTGCATCCTTCTTTTATATATATAATAGATATTATATTAAACATTTTATTTTACTATTTTACAATATACAAATTAAATATTATCCTTTCTTATAATCCTACTCTTTAAATTTTTCAAAGTGTGTGACCCATATATGCACTTATAAAACTGGCCACAATATTGACTCTATACCAATACTATAAGTAATAAGCGGTATCTAATAATACATTATTACCCCCAGATTATAAGTTCAGACGTTTGCTCTATCAAAACTTTTCTACGACTAAGGGGCTGTTTGTTTCAGCCTCTTAATGGTTCAGATGTCTGAATGGTTCAGCACTTAATGGTTTAGACTGTTTGTTTCCGCCTCTTAATGAGTCAGATGTCTGAATGGCTCAGACATTTGCCTCTGAATGATTAAGCATTATACAGAGTCTGAATGGTTAAGACCTCTTATCTAAATTGATTAGACATTTGCCTCTGAATAGTTAAGCAATATACTAGCTCTTAATGGTTCATCACTTAATGGTTCAGACCTCTTACTGGTTTAGCACTTACCTATTCAAAAGTTGCCAAACAGCCCCTAAGACTTTGTATAACATAAATCCTTTTGTCCCAATGTCTTAACTTAGTGCAATGGATATATAAAATAGCCAACTTGTAGCCATTAAGTTATTCACTGATTAACAAGTACGACTCATGAGAATAGATGTATAAACTCATCTCAGCATGGCCATGCATTTCCTCAGTCATACATATCAGTGGCCCGTACAAGACATTATTCTGCTTGAGTAGCAGTGACAAATTATTTGTACGTAATCTACGTCTTCGAATACGTGCAGCGGCATGCCCAATACAAAGCCAGTATACCATCCTTATTTCATACAGCTTAGGACAATGAATTAAAGCATGTGGGTTCACGTATTCGAAGAACGTAATACTTTAAGTCTAAGGATCGTTATACTAATAGTCGCATTAAAGGTACTTAGAGCATAGACTAAAAGTCTAGGTAATATCTTTAAGGTGGGTTATGTCTGGCATCCTATTATTAAAGATAATATCTGCCCAAGAGTAGATGTGAACACTCCGTCATTGACCAATAGACTAGGTCAAACATCTAACTCTCACTAGTCTCACATGCACTAACGATATCTCACTCTCGTTAATGCTTCGACTATAGAACGTTTAGAATTATACTAAGTGACAAGATGTTAGTCTCAACATTAGAAGACTCATTCTGATAAACATCTTATAATATAATTCTAGGAATATATTAAGAGTTTACATTAGCATGAGATGTTTGTAAACTTATTACATCTGCCTTTACATGATAGAAAATATCTAAGATATTACAAAAGCAGTTGGCCATAAGGGCACCAACTCCAACACCCCTGCCCTTCGGTATCATCCCACGCGCTGATGAGACGAGGAAACCTTAGTCTCCTGAAGGAGACTAGAAAATGTGGGTGGTAACTGAAAACCTAGTTACCATGTACATACACAAGCCCTCTTGATGAGACCTTTGGATCCCAAAGGCTCTTGGACAGGCCCGCGGAAGAGGCGCACTAGGTCTGACCTTTTGATGCGGTATGCAATGGTATGTCATGATCCTACGACCTACGTCTAGGATGATGATATGATGTTATGAATGGTATACTACCTTTGAATTTAAGTGAGCATGTTTAACTTATGATCTCGAAGACTTATTTTGGAAGCTAAGCCTCGATTTCTAATCCATATTTCAATTATTGATTCTTACCTTGAAAGCACTTTGATTTTGGATATTTCTAAAAGTTCAGCAGCCCCTGATAATCGATTATCACTTGGTGATAATATATTATCAAAGTTCAGTTGCCTCTGATAATTGATTGTGACTTGTTGATAATCGGTTATCAAATGGTGGAGGAAGTTCCAAACCTCCGTTTTCCGTTGCCACTGGACCAATTTTGGTAAAACAGCCGTATCGCCTTCGTTACTCGTATGATTGATAAACCGTTTGCAGCTCTGGTTCACCGATTCACAAGGCTACAACTTTGTTCATGCAACAACAACCAAAGAGTGACTTGATGTAACTGCTGGGCTGAAATGCAAGGAGAAGAGGGAGAGTTGAGAGTGTATTAATGGTGTGGGGGTTATAAATGATGGAGGAAATGGAAGGGAAGATGGATGTATATATTGAAGGGACATAATAGACGAGTAATGAAGGAATAATGAGGGAAGTAAATGAGAATTGAAATGGGGGAATGAATAAGGATGAGTGGCGTGTGGATTGATTTGGGGAGTTATTTCCCTAAATTCCACTCTGATGTATAAAATCTGATGTCAACCATACGCGCTTTTCCCCCAAACTGGTCCGAATCGAGATCTGTTTGCATTTTCTGAAATAAATAGTCAAAACTAAATTTATGATATCTTCAAAATATTTTTTGAAAAACATTATTTTCAAACTTATGGATCAATCCCAATCATTAATTTATTTATTTAATTAATTAATGTTGAAAGGCCCGTTATTATATTACATTAACTTTGGAAATCCATTTAAAAATCTCAATATTTATTATTTAAAATAATAAGTCTCAATAAATAAATAATATTTATTTATTTAAAATATTGACTAGCTATTAGGCTGGTTTGTGGGGCGTTACAGATAAAACCGAATGGTCGATCGGATATTTGGGATCAGTACGAGGTAGCTTTCCATACTGAAAAATCATGAACCGAACATATATACAAATATGTTATAAAAATAATACTATTTTTATATTCCTTCATAAAATAATAAATTGATTTTGAAAAGTTGGTTCAAGTGTAGATGAATTACAAATAATCTTTTATTTAAATAATCATTTATTTGAATTTTAATTTTGTGTAGATGAATATAAAAACATTAACAAACATTTGAAATACTACTTTGATGTTAAAGTTTGTCAATTTTGACCGAAAAAGTCCAAAGTAGACAAATATTCAGAGACGGAGTGAGTATGTAAATTTACAATTTTCCATATTTTGTTCACGTACTCGTACGCGGATCCACCTATACTCTCTCCGTCCTAAAATTAATTTCTCATTTGACTTTTCACGGTCTACAAAGCGGCACTTTGACCATTAATATCTCCATTTTTATATGAATATATATTATCAAAATAATATATTTCAAAACTATGTTTCAAAATGAATCTATTGATACTAAATTTATATGAAAATTCAATATATTTTTTTCTTAATATGCGGTCAAAGTTTAAAAACTTTGACTGCAAAAGTCAAAATTGGAAATTAATTTCAGGACAGAGGGAGTATAAAGTATAAACTCCTCTTCCCATTTGAGGAATTCCAAAATTGGTGAGAAGAAGTTGGAAAAAATTAAACGAAGTGAGAAGAAATTAAAAAAAGTTGGAATACATTCGAACAAGTTTAAAAATATTGTAAAAAATAAAGTGTTAGATATTGATATAAAAAGAGTTTTCTTAGATTTATTATGTCACATATTGTCAAAATATTTTTTTATTACATTAAAAGATAATATATATTTTATTTAATTATAGGTCAAAGGTTGAAAATAATAACCGAAAAAAAGTTAAAACCAAACAAATACTCAGAAACGGAGGTAGTAAAAAATTATAAATTATTTTTGGTCAGACAAACACAGCAGTAGAAAAATCTCAAACGAAACCATTGGAATTTCCCATTTTGACCAATTAAAACCTAACAACGGCGTGTCGTATAATTAGTCAAGCCAACACCTAACAAACTCTTTTAAAATACCCATTACCTACCTATACCCGCCAGACTCCCGTATCCAATTCCCATTAATTCCTTCGTTCTCCATTTACAAAAAGGAAAGAAACGAACCCTGCTTTCCTGCACGGCCGGTGTTCATTCCACCACTATCTTAAGAATAATCAAATTTCCACCACCTGCAATGACTCTAGCAGTTCTCCTGAATAAAAAATAATCATCATGTACTTCGTGATCTTATCGGTAATAATTGTTGCATTTTTCTTTATACCTTCTGGGTTAAGATCTTCTCTTCTGTTCGCTGTTAAGAAATGGGTTCGATTTCTGGAAGACAAGTGCTACGCCTATCAGTTCTACAAGGTTCCGGAGTTCAACCAGTACATGCAGGAAAACCAGCTATACCGGAAAGTGTCTACATACCTTAGTTCCTTGTCCGCCATTGAAGACTCCGATTTCACTAACCTGTTTTCGGGGAACAAGTTGAACGAGATCAACGTAGTTCTCGATTCCAATCAGGTTGTGGTGGATGATTTTTTGGGCGCCAGCGTTAGCTGGGCGAACGAGGAGAACGAGAGGACTCCAAACTTTAGGGATCAAAACTTTTAATCCTCCTAGCTATTCGCAGCCTAAGAGGCAAGCATAGAAGTCGTATAAGAGAGACAGAAGCTACTCTAGCTCGTCTCCTCCTTCCTCAACTCCGACATGCACTTGTAGCAGCTCTCCACGCCCGCCACCTCTAGCCACCGCGACTGCGTAGGACGCTGCTAACTGTGCCACCTCATGGATTCGGATCTTAAGAGCAAAATCAAGTCCGATTTGGAAACCTTTCTCAAATCGAAACAGTACTACCACAGGCTAGGCCGTCTTTGGAAGCGGAGCTACCTTCTCTACGGCCCTTCCGGCACCGGTAAATCCACATTTGTGGCCGGAATGGCGAAATTTCTGGGCTACGACGTTTACGACATCGATTTGTGCCGAGTCTCCGACGACTCCGATCTGAAGATGCTTCTCTTGCAGACGAAGAGCAAATCGGTGATCGTGATTGAAGATCTGGATCGCCATCTGCTCGCGAAGTCAACAGGTCCGACTTTGTCTGGGATTCTCAACTTCATGGACGGAATCTTCTCCTGCTGCGGCGAAGAACGGGTGATGGTGTTCACGATGACCACCGGAAAAGATCAAATCGATCCAACTGTTCTCCGGCCGGGAAGAGTCGACGTCCATGTTCATTTCCCCTTGTGCGATTTCAACGCTTTCAAGAGCTTAGCCAACACCCACTTGGGCTTAAAAGATCACAAGCTTTTCTCTCATGTGGAAGACATATTCCAAACCGGGGCGAGTTTGAGCCCGGCCGAGATCGGCGAAATCATGATATCGAACCGGGCTTC